ATATGCTTTGTTTTGCAAGTGAACCCATAGTTATTGTCATTATTGTTTTGTTTATGTATGGATGCAGTAATGGTAACTTTTGTTAAAGTTTTGATACACCACAGTGGCTATTTTATTGAGAATGATGAAAGGAGTTGTGTTGGGGGTAATGTGGATGTATTTGATGCAGTTGATGTTGATAAATTATCTGTCCAAGAGATTAGCTGCATGTTGCAGTTGGGTGTTTTTTATTACAAGCATATTTTCTATAGGATTTCCAACAAAAATTTGGTCTTAGGGTTAAGAGTGTTGGCTAACCACCCACCACTTACTCGCTACCACCCACCCGCCATCCGCCATCCGCCACCCACCACCCGTCACCACCACCTCCCACTCACTACCACCCACCACCCGTCATCCGCCATCCGCCACCCACCACTCGCCACCATCACCTCCCACTCACTACCACTCACCACCCGCCACTGTCACCCATCCACCAACCACCACCACCTACCCTCCACCACCACCAGCTACCTAGCACCCACCATCACCACTTTCCACCACCGTCTTCCGCCGCCACTTGCCGCCACTTGTCATTTCTCACTCTTTTTTAAATTTTTAAATTTTTTTAAATATTTTGTCAATTACCAAACGCGTTTGTAGTTTATGTTTTCCTAAAAATAAACAAAAATTAAACAAAAACCAGTTTATAAAATTTTTGTAAGTATAAACTGAAAACGTAAACGTTACCAAACACACCCTTACTGTTTCAATTCTGTTTTTTTTAACTGAATTTGGTGCCAAATTTTGTTGATATTTGTTGATCTGGCAAGTTTGGGAGCTGCTGTTCAACTTGCCAAATTTGAGAACATATATGGCATCTGCTATCTTTAGCAAGTAAAATAGCAGGCCATTGGACACCCTCTTTTTGCCATTCCTGTCAAATTTTAACTTTGGCAGGTTGAATAGCAACTTTATTGGAGATGCTTTTACCTCTCACTACCAAAGGTGCTGGTGACAAATCTGACGTGGTAACAGTATACACACACCCTGTAGGTCTCTGCTCTATCTACTCATTACTTAGAGCATAAGTTTGATACACTGACTGAGCCGAAGAGACTCCCTAATTGGCCCTCGAGGCTTGAGCTGATGGTGTAGGTTAGTGGCTCTGTATCTGCCTCGAACCAAGTGTACCAGATGTGCCACTTGCCGGAGGAAAAAACCTCCTTAAGTGTGCTGATTGCCCACTTTGATAACAGGTAGGTAGCTGCCCTCTCTCCTAACTCTGGCTCTGAGAACGAGCTGAAGACGGTGCAGACTATTGCCCTCCCTCCTTCTGCGGGCAAACTATAGACTTGTGGCCCAATTGACCACACTTAAAGCAAGTAATCCTATCCTGACCACCTCTTATTGACCCAGAACTCGGTACAAGAAAAGTGGACCTAGACTGTGCTCCCTGGGATTGTTGTGGGGTAGAACCCCTTTGCCTCTTACTGTCCCGAGTCTCTCCTGAACCTCTGACTCCTCGACTTGGAGCCATTTATTTGCTTATCCTTAGTCTGAATCACGGTCTCTAAGTGAGTCGTTGCCGCCTCTACAAGATGACCATAATCCTTAATCATGGACTCGGCCACTTTGAAAAGAAGTCAAGTCTTCAATCTTTTCTCAAACTCCAAGCAACGACGTTTCTCCATCGACACAAGCTCATGTACAAACCTTGACAGACTAGTAAAGGCAGCTTCAAACTCTGTCACTGGTGTATTAAGCTACTTGAGCTTCAAAAACAGTTCCCTTAACTTCTCACTAACAATAGGAGGCAAAAACTTGTCCTGAAAGGCGTTGAAAAAAGTCTCATAACATGTACTTCCACCATTGACCCGCATCTTCCTTCAGCTGGAAAGATGCCAAGGTCACTCTAAGCCCATCGTCCTCGATGCCAAGCATGTCGAACGTCTTCACCATCTGCTCCAACCATTCTTCCACCTTCAGTGGCTCCTTCGGATCTCCTAAAAACTCATCCGGATTCGACCGAAAAAACTCTCTTTTCAAAAATGGCAACCCTATCTCAACTACTTAGACCTGGACTTGATTCTCAGCTCTGAAATTGTCTATGGATTCCGTAAGGCTTCAACCATCTCACGGGCTAAAGCACCCATGGCTTGCTGACTAACTAGTTCAGCCACATTAGCCTGACTAACCCCTTCTTCTTATGCCAAAATATCATCCGATAACGGCACCTCCAGCCATCTAGGCCTACCATGCCTACCACTATATGTCTATGTCCTAACATCCTAATGGAGGTAACACAAGAGGTTGGCACATTTACAAATGTGTCGAAGTTAACTCACTCGTGTCCTAATGTGATGGACAATAATTAATTCACTCCATATAAGTATATAGTCACATAAACACATACGAATTTCCTTTCTAGATAATAATCGTCCCGTGACATTGCTAGAGTTCTAGTTAGAAACAGCAGTGATCAAGTGCTCTTTTAACAGGCCTTCTAGAAACTCGCAGACTTAATCAATATCTTAGAAATTAAATTCCATACCACTTAGTCATATAAGCATAATATGGCATAACATACTAGGTTTATTTCGAATATCATCTAGCAAGAGAACCCATTGTGGTACAAACCACTCCCCACGATCCCAAAGTATTCAAACCTAGTAGTTTTAATACCAAGTTGTAAAATCCCCAAAATATCACAATAAGACCATCTAACAATCTTTGCCAATTAACAATACATTTCAGAATATGATATCTTTACATTCATATGAATCAATAGTTACAAAAGATGACACATGCAACTATACATTCAGAAGTCCTAATCTTGAATCTATAAAATGTGTCATAAGCAAGAGATATGAAATAAAAGTTAAAACAGATAAATTATTGTCCTAATGGCTACAACTTTCCAAGACGGTGCTTGGTTACAACAAAAGTGAGTTTAAACTCAATATATATAAAGCCCTAAACTTGTATAAAAATAGATACAACAATAACAAAAATGAAACTCTTGGCTCCTAGTCCTTCCAAGCTACTACCTTGGCAGAGACATATCATTAGTATCTGAAAATAATTTTCCACATAAGGTGACCTAAAACCCAGTAAAGAAGCTCTAACACAGTGTATGAATCTTAACAGAGTTATAAGGTGAATACATATGCAATGCTCATGCCAAAACATTTTATATCTCTTTCCAAAACCATCCAATGCCAAGTTTGTATCACAGTTCATGAAATCATTTTCTTTACCATAGAAAATAAGGCAGTGGATACAATACTGAGAATCTCTAAGATGTGTTTGCAAGTAGGCTACAAGCACTACCAATTGTCATTTTTACCGGTATCAACTGGAAGGCTCGGTACCTATTCGCATGGGTTTCTGGACTTTCACCAATAACACACAGGCTAACTTAATACCACAACTACACTCTCTACTCAAATTCACCAAGGTATTCACCAATTTTTCTCAAAACAATAAACATTCTCAATGTGTTAAATCTGTTACAATGCTCAATGCAAATAGATGAGAAATTAGTTTCAATTCACCTAATCCGCATGCAATTTCTACAACAATCATAACTATCCTTCACCGATAGGCCAAAACAGATATCTCTAAACAAATAAATAATTTCCAATATTTCAAGATAGGAGTGATAATTCATATCCAACTCCACTACCACTATCATCCTCATTCCAATTTCATAAAACAAACATCAATTCCATTTTCTCTTTACAAAAAATCAAATATTCACAATTTAGGGCAAAATCTCATTTCTTCAAAAATCAACTCCAAGGATAAAAATCCACTATTTCATCACAACTCAACAATATTTACAATCAATATTCATTTTTAAGAACCCATTTTGAAAACCCCTCTTTTGATTTCAAACCAAAACCCTTTATTTTTTTCAAAATTCCACAATATCAAGATTTCTTTAAAAAAACAAATAACCAAGTTAAAAACCATACTAAAATGTGGAGGAATCCCTACCTCAAAGACAAGGACCAAGAAGAACAAGAGTTGAAACTCGACGAAGCCGAAAACGAACTTTGCTCCAATTAGAATAAAGCTCTAGGTGAGTTCTACCTTTTTAACAAAGAGACTATGGTATAAAGATCAATAGATTGAGAGTACCTGGAGGTTGAATGTGAGTTTTAGAGAGAGATGGTCTAGATTTAGGGTTTTGAGACGTTTAGAGGAAGAGAGATATGAAAAAGTGATTTAAAAAGTGACTTTTCGGAACTGATATATGCATAGATCGCTCAAGCGACCAGACACAAAAAGAGAAGCCGCTAGAGTGAACAAAGTATCGCTTGAGTGAAGAACACCACATTCCCAGTATATTTGCAGGCCCGCAAAAGTATTGAGAGTTCTAAAACACCGCTCGAGCACAAGAAGGACCGCTCGAGCCAATACCGCTTGAGCACAAGAAACACTGCTCGAATGAAGAATGCCATACTCCCAGTAATTTTGCAGACTTGCAAAAATACTAGAAGTTCTTAAAGTTCGCTCGAACAAACAAGCCAAAATTTGGGCAATAACAGTTTTGAAAAACTAACTCCCAATTTGTTTCAAACACAGCCAAGACACTTCAATAACTAAACTCAACAAGTAATAAGATGGAAGAAAATATGAACAATCATTAAAATAAAAAATCTCAGATTCAAAATAATTAACGTGTCGCGTTTAAATCAAAATCGTTATAATAATAAATAATTTATATTTTAAAAAAATCTCAAATAATATATTTGTTAATTTACTCAATTTGTTATTGAAGTCCTAAAAAAAGGTTTACAATGTATTTACTTGTTTTGTATTTATTTATTTATTTATTTTGAACAACCAGTCAACTTAGCAGTCAGCACCAAAATGACCCACGTGTTTGTCACAGCACTAAGCACCACCAGTGGTGTTCAAAGAATGGATGGGGGAAAGAAGTGAGGGTTGTTACATGATTAAATATATATATATATATATATATATAATATTATAATTAATAAAGAGAACCGTCACATAGCGTCTAGATCAAATAATTTTTTCTTAAAATAACACCATATGCCGGGGAGATGGTCTGATATTTGTATATTTAGGAAGGAAGAGAAGGAGAGGAGAGTGAGGAGAGAGATGGGGTGGAAGTCGTGTTTGGTGGAATTGGTGCCATTTGCAGCGATGGTGATGGTGGAATGCTTTGATGTTGGCCTAACTACACTCAGCAAAGGAGCCATGTCCAGAGGAATGAGCCACTTTGTCTTTGTTGTCTACTCTAATGGTCTTGCCACCCTCATCCTCCTCCCTGCTTCCACCTTCTTAGACAGGTCTCTCTCTCTCTCTCTCTCTCTCTCTCTCTTCAAATATGGATCATCAATATTCAATACCCAATCTCGTTTTTATTTGCCTCAATTTAATTTCTTGTTACTTGCAGAAAAAAGAGGCCTCCTCTCACTCTGTCTCTCCTCTGTAAATTCTTCTTCCTCAGCCTTATTGGGTCTGTAAGACTGTAACTGCTTCTTAACAGCTTCAATTGATTGAATCAAGAAATGGGTTTTGTTTCCTCTGTAGAGGAAATTAACAGGTTTTTTTTTTTTTTTTTTTAGGATCACTGTGATGCAAAATTGTGTATTCACTGGGATAAATTACAGCTCTCCTACCCTTGGATCTGCTATGAGCAACTTGATTCCTGCTTTCACTTTCTTGCTTGCTGTTATCTTCAGGTTTGTTTTCTTTTTCTTTTTTTACTCAAACGCCATTCAATAAGTGAGGGTATGAGGGACACTGTACATTTATAAAGTGTTTGGTTGAGTGGAATGATAATTGGAATAAAATCACCATTCGTCAATTTAGGAAAATGATCATTCTATTAGGAGATTAAAGAAAAGTTTTTCATTCGTGCCTAAATTATTCCAGCAAACCAAATTATGTATGGTTATCCGGCCCTAGAAATAGCAAAAGATTTCACCTTGAAAATCTTCCAAAAACAAATTAAGGTCTTTCTTTTAAACTTATAATCTTGCAATCGATAAAAAACAAAAAAAACAAAACAAAACAAAACAAAACAAAACAAAATGTGGAGACGATTAGGGTATGGGACAAGCAATAAACCCAGAAGTTTTGGATTCAACGCTCGCTAATGTAACCGATAATTGTATTTTGTGGTGGATTATATCAACTTGTATGTACAGACTTGTTTGTTCATGCTTTGTTGTTTTCTTGTTTCCTCTTAGGATGGAGAGGTTAGATTTGGGAAGCACAAGAAGTCGGGTAAAAATCATGGGGACGTTGGTTTCAATTTCAGGAGCATTGATAGTAACCCTCTACAAGGGTACTCCAATAGGGTCCTTGCCTGTTCAATCCCCATCACTTTCCTCTCAAGATTCTCCCTTCAAAATGTTGGCAACTGAAAGCAATTGGGTTCTTGGAGGCCTTTTTCTTGCAACAGCTAGTCTATCTGTCTCAATATGGAATACTTCTCAGGTACTATTCAAAGTCCCACACACAAAAACTCAAACACACACATTATTCATTTTCTTAATAAGAGGACTGCAGCGGTATCAATGGCTGATCTTGCTAGATTCAAAATGGCAAGGAATAGATGTAGAGTAACTTTTCCAGAGTCGAAATCTGTAAGATTAGCTCAAACCGGTTTGGAATTTAGGCTTCAGAAGAAGTTTGATTATACAGAATTCAGAGATTTGGTAGACTTAATTTATAAAGTCACCTGATTCGATCCCTTACACTGATCATATTGCATACTGATTTTGAAGGCAGCAATTCTTAAGGGGTACCCATCAGAGCTAACCATAGTGGCATTCTATTGCTTGTTTGGGACCATTCAATGCGCAGTTCTTACATTATTTGCAGAAAGAAACAACCCAAATGCTTGGAAGCTAAGTCCTGATATTGAGCTCATCTCTGTCATCTACTCAGTAAGTCTATATACAAAGAGAAACATTTCTTCATTTATTTATTTATTTATTTTATGTAATTCTTGCATTCTTCAATTCTAATTTGAGGGTTTTTTTTTTTTTTTTGTGTGTATGCGCGCGCGTGTGTGTTTCTTACTTTTGTAGGCTGTTTTTGGAAGTGTTGTGACATTTTCAGTAGTAACATGGTGCATACATAAGAAAGGTCCAGTGTTTGTGGCGATGTTCAAGCCAATAAGCATTGCTATTGCTGCTATACTTGGTGTTATTTTCCTTGGTTGTTCAAGCCAATAAGCATTGCTATTGCTGCTATACTTGGTGTTATTTTCCTTGGTGACACACTCTATGTTGGAAGGTAATGACAAAGCAAAAACAGTATTTTATTATTATTTCTTTCACAGCTACCAGTCTATTTGAAAAATGATTAAAATGAACTAATCAAAATAGATTAATTACACGTTTTCCATTCATGGATACAGACATCTTCCCATGTGATGAAGTTTGACTTTTCCCCTTGGCTTAAAGTCATCATAGGAAGATTTGGGTGCAATAAGGGGATTAGTTTCTTTGTTCTTATTGTTCATTTTTAAATGTTAAAAGAAAAATAGGAGAATGAAAATGGTGAGGCTTGATCTAGGCATTACGCCTAGTAATAGACCAACCCTTTGTTTCGAGAAAGGGTTTTGCTGGGCGGTTTAAATTGATGATTTACAGTAGCAAGGCCGTGTTTGGATGTTCCATTAAAGCAGAGTCAATCCATTTCTTGCATACTTCCTGGGAAAGTAATTATCCATTCTCTATTATGGCGCCACCACATAAACAAATGACCTTATATGGTTGCTTATAGCTATTAAATTTAAAAATTTGTATCTGGAAATTTAGTGTAACTTTTACTTATAACTTAATAAGTTTAATCAAATTGATTATTGAGAAGTAGTAGAAGGAATGCTTTTTGCATGTGCTTCTTACGCTTCATTTGCTTGGGTGGATAACATCTTCTAATGAAAAATATTTTTTTGAGAAAATATTTTTCTATGTTTGGTGGTGGTGGTGGTGGTGGTGGAACGAAGGTGGAAGTAGAGGTGGTAGCATGGTGGTGGGGTGATGGCAATGGTGATGCCAATAGTGATAGTGGTGGTAATGGTGGAGTGGTGGTGGAGGTAAGAGTGGTGGTGGTGATGTGATGACATTGATAAAATTTTAGTCTAGAAAACGTTTTTTGTTTTTTAAAAATAGAAAATATTTTCTACTCAAATAGGTTTATTTTTTATTGATCATGAAAAATGTTTTTCATTGACTTTAATTTTTCATTGTATCAAACATTAAAAAATATAAAAAAAATAAAAATATTTTCCGTCTAAACAAACAAAATTTTATTATTTAGCTTTTAATTTGTAAGAAGTTGCATGAAAACAAAATTAGAAGAACATATTCTAAAAAATAAAAAATGAAAAAGCTTTCATGACTCATAATATGATGTATATTGTTAGTTTTTTTTTTTTCTTCTTTTCAATAAGATATTAGAGGATTAATAAATTAGATTATAATGAAAGGACCGTCGTTTCATTTCATTAACTCGAATAATAAACTCCTTAGTGTTCCATTATAGCATGGATTATTGAGCCAGCTGTGTATTGATTGGTTGCAATGTATTAAATATCTTTATTTTTTATTTTTTAAAAATTTGTGCAGTATTATTGGAGCAATTGTAATTGTGATGGGTTTCTATGGAGTGATATGGGCACAATCCAAAGAAGAGGAAAAGGCAATTAATGGAGTTGATGATGATGGGCTGCCTTCAGTTTCATCCTCAGACAAACACAAAGACAAGACACCTCTCTTGCAGGCTCACTGGGTCGCATAAATGCTTTTAATATGATGTTCCCTTTTATTTATTTATTTTCTTTTGAAACAAACAATGTACCATGGAGGCAAAATTGTTGTAAGAAGGTAATGTAAGTATTGATGTAAAAGCAAGAAAGAAAAAGGACAAGAAAATGTTCCCTTCTCATTTTATGGTTTTTATTTAGAAAAAATTCCATTTAAATAAGAACAAATTAAAAATAATTGTATTTTCATAGAAGTATAACAGAACTTGTATCTAGTGCAAGTGAAATTTGTAACACAACTCACTTATTTCTAAGGATACTTCTAAAAAAATGTAATTATTTTGAGTTATTTTCATTTAATGCAATTTTCCATTTCATTTACTAACAAGCCACAAAAAGCACCAACAATGCATATGGACAAGACCAAGACCCATTTGGAATCACATTATATCATTAAACTGGATCTATTGTAGTAATGCATATATTCTTAAAAAATTTCTGTCATTTAATTCTATATTTGTCGACATTTTATTTATAGGGAGTTCAAGAGGTTGAAATCTCATGACATAAAACATAATAAAAGAAAACAAAAATGAAAACACGAGACACAGAGATACAGATTAGACAGAGACATACAGATTTCTCAGCTTCCCGGTGTCTTTCTTGTCCATTTCAGACTTTCTGGTAAACATCATATGCATCTCCAAAATGAAATTTCTATCAATTTCCTGAATCGCCCTGTTAGATTCATGGAAAAAGAAAAAGAGAAAAAACATTGAATGAATATCAACTACTTTAGTTCCTCCGCGCTCTTCTATGCTCCTTACAAATAGTAGAAATCATCAATCCTACCAAGATACACACCAGACTACTAAATTGATATACTTACACTCTCAGCACCTCCTCACTAGACAATATCTTGAAATCTACCAACAAATTGCTAGCTGAAATGCATTCCTCATCAAAATCAAAAATCAAAAATCAAAATCAGGGTAGCTGGAGGCGAAGGGGGATGATCTGATCTCATGACTTGAGATCATCGGACATGGCAGAAGGTATACAATGTGTTGTGAGGATGTCTAGTGTTGCTGCTTTGGCTACCTTTGTTCGAAGGACCACTATCTGCAAACACCACATGCATGACTAAGCAAGGCAATCCTACCAATCTTTTTAGAGTATGAGCAGAGAGTGAGATTGAGATACCTGTTGGTAGTCCAAATCAAATTTCAAAAACTCATCACCACAGCTCTCAACCATGCTAACCAAACTCTTGAGATTCTTCACGGTTTGACCATTAAAAGCAAGAACCTATGCACACAAAATAAAGGCATTTTAGCAATTGCCGGTTTGAAGCATCCCATTACCAGCATCATGAAAATTTGTGCATCCATTAGAAATTTCTGACCTGAGTGTTGACAATCTCCTCGTATCCAATGTTAATTTGTGCATCCATTAGAAATTTCTGACCTGAGTGTTGACAATCTCCTCGTATCCAATGTTGATGTCAGCTACAAGAACCTTTTATAAAAATGACCAGAACAAATGTCAATGCAACAAAGCACATTCAGGTCTTAACATCATAGCTACATAGGCATAAGATAAGCAATTAAGATTTTTCTTCTTCTTCTTCTTCTTTTTTTTTTTTTTTTTTTTTTTTTTAAAAAAAAAAAAAAAAAAAAAAAAAAAAAAAAAAAAAAAAAAAAAAAAAAAAAAAAAAAAAAAAAAAAAAAATGTCAGCTACAAGAACCTTTTATAAATATGACCAGAACAAATGTCAATGCAACAAAGCACATTCAGATCTTAACATCATAGCTACATAGGCATAAGATAAGCAATTAAGATTTTTCTTCTTTTTTTTTTTTTTTAAAAAAACTATGTTAATAGAGGGGTCATCAAAAAAAAAGAAAAAAAGAAACCTGAGAAATCACAACAAGCTGCTCATCTTGTGATTTGGGCATTTCATGCAAGAGTTTGTCCAACAGCTTGACTGGAGCTTCGTATTCATAATCTTTACCATACTGACAAAAAGATGCAGAAAGAGTTGAGACAATGTATTATAATGAAAAGTTCGAAACTTGACCATGAAAAAAAAACATGTAGCGCAATAGCAACTCTAGAATAGACTGTTAGATTGTGTCAATGCTCATGCAAGTTTTATCTGAGTAGGCATAATATAACACAATAGATATGAATGCAGCTAGAACCAAACTTTGGCATAAATACATGGTATAATATCAGAGCCTTAATGTCATTTTGTAATGTGTTATTACTCTTTATATCTGCTTTTTATCTAATATAATGTAAAGAACGTCATTTCATAAACTTCTTTGTACCCCTACTGTTTTAGATTGGCAACCACCATTCCAGCTTTCTCAATATCAATATCTTGACCCAAAACATTGAGATTTTAGGGCTTTGTAAAATCAGTCGTTCAACTCTCACCAAAATTGCCATCCGTCCATCCATCTCATCGACATCTTTATTTCCACCTACAAAATACTAATTAAACACACCAGTTTCCCAAGGATTCTATTCCTTACAGAGGAGTTACTATAATTTTTATTTATAAAAAAAATTTCCGCAGAAAATTGGAAGACAATGAGATAATACACTAAAGCACATCTCAACTATTATATATCTATTGCAAAATTGTCATGAGTGATGATATCATGGTATGGATAATCTCAACAACAAACAAGATATGTAGAAGTTCTAGAAGATCTTTTACATTTTACACTTACAAAGTGACAACTATGAGACAGTTTTAAAAAATAAAAATAAAAATAAAAATTGACACTCTGAGAACTAAAGTTCTTTCTTCACAAGCTTAGGCAATCCAAGCCAGGATTTGCATAATTTGACTTCAATTTACTACCAATTCTTAGAATTTTACTAGGATTCCTAACTTGAAAGGTTTGAATGAACAAAGGTCAAGCCATTAGTGCACAGGTAAGCTTGTTTGCAGTTCCAAACTTCCAATCGACCTATATGGTGATTTCAAAAAGTTGCCTTTCCATTTATTTTATTTTGGTTCAACTACTTTAGAACACTTGATTGTCATGTTCCTAACAAAAGAATTCCATTGCCAGTTGCCATGTGTCCTTAACAAGATTGCTAAACTAGGTAAACTATTCTACAAAAAGGAAAACAAAGAATAAGAAAACAATAAAAAAAAAAAAAACAAGAACAAAACTTAACATAATAGAAAAACAAAAAAGGAGAGTCAGTTTGTTCTTCTCTTCTCTCAAAGGTTTGGTCCACCAAATTTTATGTGCAAGATGATAACCTCCTCAAGTCAACCTCTCTACCGTGAAGTCTAACTAGTTTGTGGTATATATGTCAGGCCCCAATCTTTGTTACATCACTTTAAAATAATTACCAGCAAGAACACATCAAAGTTTTGAGTTATGTGAGTTGTGTCCAATTTGTCTAATGCATTTGCGCACCAAACTTCTCTAGTTTCATAATCAAAGAGCCTTCAATTGAAAAAATCAACTAGCTGTCATCAAATGAAGCTTGGCACATCAAGGTAGGGACTGTGTTCCTATCAACATTGCCAAAAGAGTGTACTCCATCACCAAACTCCTCCATTTTGGTAAATGATAAACATCCATTTAAATCACATGTGGTTTGCATACTTGTCAATGACAACAAGTGAAGTCTAGTGACTATCGGTTTCTATATTACAAAAATACCAAGTGCCCAGGCCTCTTCAAGTGAAATCATATGCACTTTGGACAAAGCTAGATCCTTGTCACTTAAAACATGCTGTCCTAGAATTGGCAAAATCTTATTCTACATCAGTTTTTAATCATGGATAATAACATGGCAATAATAACAACAATAAAGCTTGGAGCAATTGGAAATGATCAAACTGCCAAGCATGATAATGTAGGTTCAAGTGTTCAATGTAACCACTTTGCTTCAGTTTGGGCTTGTGTGACTTCCCCTTTCAAAGAAATTCCTCTGTTTTTAATCTCTAAGGATTGGGCTGCTGTTTGCCAACCTTAGTGATAGATTGGTTTCTTTTTCGTTTTTCTTGTCTTTACTGTTTGGATTGCTGCTTTGATCTTTAGTCATTGTATGAGGACTTCTTGTCCTCCTCTCGTTTTCACTTTTGGTTATCAATAAAATTCTGTTATTGCTTGTTCAAAAAAACACGTAACCACTTTGCACAAATCAATGTAAAAAACTAGGGTTGTCTACAGCACCCTCGAAGAAAGCCGCTTGAAACTAAAAAATTATGATTACGTTTGACATCTTTTTGTTCCTACGAGCCTCAATCAATTTGGTATAGTTTTTCTGAAGAGAACTAGTTGAACAATCAAAGGCTGTTGTGCGATTATCAGGCGATCTATTAAGGGCTGTACTCATCTTCAGCTGGTCAAGAATGTTGCCTCCCTTTATAGGGGAAAACCTAATTAATTGGACTTTGACTCTGACAAGCTTTGAATTTCATTGTGACTAGAAATAAATTCTCCTACAGCATGGCCAGCCTCTCCACATCAGAGTCTGAGAGGAAATGATTCCTACCTAAGTGATAGATGGTACTGAGAGAGGTAGTGTTCAGTAATGCTGTGTTTGGTTCATGGATTTGAGAAGGGATTTGGAGAGGGAAATGGAAAAGGTGTGAAATGTAGTTATAGTTCATTCACATTTCACCTACTTTTTCCCTTTCCCTTTCCCTTTCCCTTTCCCTTTCTATTTCCAAATCCCTTCTCAAATCCATGATCCAAACACAGCATAAAGCTTTCAAGTTAAACTCAGGCTGCAAACAAACCAAGCTGAACCAAGTATTGGCTTGTTTGAGCTTGGACCAGCAGATGTTGGAAAAGTTCAAGATTAGAGATGAAATGAAAAATATTTCTTTGAGCTCCGCACAGCCATAACTCACAAAGCTTGCAAGCCTTCCAGTTTGGCTTGATTAAAATGAAATCTGCCACAAGGTCTTCAACCCTTTCACACTCCTCATTTCCCAGTTAAAGCTCAAAGAAATGGCTAAAAAAAATGACATGCATAATCTAAAATACAGAATATAACATAGATAATATATATATATATACATCTTTTGACAAACAAAACAAGCTTGACATGGAACATAAAAGAAATTAATCCTCACCGCCACATGTTCACATGCCAGGCAAGCTAGGCACTGCTCAGGCTTGTCTGCTTTATTAAACAAGCTTAAATTAAGAAAAAAAACATTCAAAGTGAAATGCAAACCTCAGAACGCAGATATGGAACGGAAACAGTTGTAAAAACAAGTCCTGCAACGATGTAATATGAGGGTGGTCTGCCCTTGTTGTGCGCTGGAATCAGCCTCCTGTGACTCTTAAGTTTGACATTAAATTTCAGAGTTTCAGAATTGCGGAGAACTTTAATTGCTGCAATATCTCCGGTATATTTTTGGGATACAAGGTAACTAAAACCTATGCGCTCACCATGCCTAAAAGGAACTGAAAAATCAAAAGAAAAAAAAGTTAATACCAGAGCCTGGAAGCATATTGCAATGGAGCGGAAAAATAACCTGAATATGACCATCCCCATTTTGAAGGTTACAGACTCCAAATATCAAGACATATCAAGCTATAGCAGTAAAAATAACTTTTTTCCTTGTTTTCATTAAGTAACATAATTGCATGACACAACACCACAAAAAAGAGATCATAAATAGACTTTCAACAAATCCTGTGACATCATAACAAGAACTCCAAAGAAAGTAACAAGGCAATTGCTTCTCATAAAGAAAGCTACAATATTCATGTTATGAAAAACAAAAAGACTGACTTATACCCCCACAATGGAAGATGCAAATTAAACTTAATCCTAAAGCACAGCCATGAATTTCGATTGTGTAAAAATGAACCACCAAAAACCAATGTTGAAGCATTATACTCGAAAAACATTAATGAACTTCATTCATCAATATTAGTATAAAAACATTACATTTCACAATGCTTTTTACCAAGTGGTTAGACGATGAACTTCTCTAATTCTATGATTATCTATTATGACGAATTCATAAAAGTAACAATATCATAGATATGTTGCAGCAAAGAATGCAACTAAGTATAATTGTGCCAAGGCCAATCATTAATGAGAGCACATTTTTATTCAACCCTGAGCTTGATGGGGCTAAACTCTGTATTTACATTCTTATAGTGGCACAAACCACAACTAGAATTGTTTTTAAGTATTTGTCCTCTAGGTACTTGATCCTAATTTATAAGCCACATTATGATACAAAAACATAATATTGGTATCTTTCCAGGATGCAATTAGAGGATTTTGTAAGAGAACCTCATGGTAAAAAGTAAAAATGTTACTCCAAATTTCAGACATCAATCAATGCCAAGGTGTTATAAAAAGTTACATCAGCCACGAGTGTAAAAAACGAAGATTCAACTATATGGATCATGCAGCCTGGCAAGTCCAAGCCATCATCCCTACATTAATTATTAAACAATACCCAAATGTATTACCAAACATGTATCAGAATAAGGAGTGCAGCACCCAACCTAGTTTTATTATCAAAGATGACAAGAACAATGGACAATTGAAAAGTCATCAATGAGCAGTTTTAAGCATTGAATTATGCTATATTATATTGCAATACATATATATATATATATATCAATTGCAATTCTGATAAGCCACTACATAGACTAACCAAGGATTAAATCACAATTACGAATTGGAGTCATGGTATTTGTGACACTCATGCATGTGCAATGAACATTACACAAGTCAAATCAGATACCAGACCCAGGATTCTTTTCTTATAGCACAGCTTGAGGTAGTAGGGATACATATATTTGAACCTCAGAATCCCACAAACTAACATTATTGATGATCCTTAACTTCTTTTTTGAAGCAATAGAGAATAAAACAATACAAAGATAAATGTCAAGAAGATTATTTTTTCTTCCCACAATTACCTGTTCCATCATTGGCAATATCAACCCCATCAAAGCTGAGTATAATATCTGATGGCTTCAGGACCTCAGATTCCGTAGCAGTGGGATCAATTCTTCGTATACGAACACCTTTCTGATCAGGTTTCATCCCCATTGAAATTCGCATATCAGGATTTTCCATCTTTTGCCACTCAACCCCGAGTATTGGAAATCCTAGCACATAACATTCAATTATGACAATATAGCCACCGGTTTGTTCCATAATAAGAAAAAAGTGAAATACGATGACAATTAACATACCAGTGAAATATGACGGAAGATAGACCAAATATTCCTCAAAAACCTATAAAAATCAGAAGCAAATGCAAAACATGCAGAGATTCATGATAGATTGCTCCTATATCAGTTATTTTTCTATTAAAAGAGGGTATTTATTAACATGCATACAGCACCTATACATGATACATAAAGTTTAGAATTAGAGGACTAAAAGCGATTTATTTCCATCTCCATTTCTGTGTACTTCTTTGCTTGTGCTCAACGTTGATTGTTATTCCTTCAGACCTGATAACCAAATATGACTAATTGGTAGCAGGAACTAAGATCAAAAAGCAAGTACCTCTCATTTATACATGTAGTAACTTCTACCAATGCCTAAATCACTGCTGACTGACATCAATGACATGGATTACATCATAAGCCCTAAATGAGAATGACAATCTCTGGTATGAGTTATTTCTTGACTTTATGATGATTTTTCAAAAAACAATATTTTTTTTTCTTAAATGATGATTTTTAAGAGGCAGCTCACATAATTGATCTAAGCTAAGCTGTAATTGAACTGGAGCTGTGATTGCTCAGGGATGGTGAGTCTTGACCCTGCCACCATTACAAGGATATAACCCACTTTTCTTGAGCTGATTTTACAATAACCATTTTGGTTTTGGACATATTAGTTCTGGAAAGAGTACAAAGCAAATTGAACCCAGAAACGTATTCTGGAATCTGCAGTAAGAAAAATATGATACTGGACTAAGCGTTTCTTTTGAACTGGGCTGATGAAATGCACAACACTAGTGATATTGTCCATCAATCCTGTGCTGTCAAACCTAATTACCTGTATGATATGCGGATTTAGATAAATATACACCAAACTACAAGCATTATGGAGGTGCCCACACTCTAATAGAATATTGGCATTAATACTTCCGTGCTCTCACAATCCTCTTTTGCTCATGTAACTTAGACATCATTTGTTTGTGTGTTGATCTCAGCAATTTGTAAAACAAATAGTCTGTTTTTAATACATCCTCCTACAGCTATGCATTAAATCTTATCAAAATATTTATGCACTCACCCAGGATGACTCATCACGAGGTAGGATGAAGTAGAGAGGTATCTTAACTCTACTACTAGCGCATGAGTTGTCTACTCTAAGCATTGCTATTTAGAAATAAATGCTGCAATTTATGCTAATTAGGCTGTCTAAATTATTGTTTCTACATGATGTGTAGGTATTTTACAGTAACTATTGTTAGGAATTTAGGATGATAATGCCCATAGAAGGATTAAATGAAGCCTGTTTAAACATGATTACACAAGCATAGAGAGGTAGAATGTCATTTCATTAAAGGAAAAGTACCAAGAGACTGAATTCAGTACCTAGACTTCAAGTTAATGATTCTTACACAAATCCCAATAATTTTGGAAAGTGTATTTTTGGCTGGGATCATAGAAAAGATATATTTCTTTCCATGAGCTGAGAAAAGTGTAAAGAGGCTAGTATAGTCCAAAAGCCATTTCATTCTTCATTCAAGGACAATTATGCAAACTTGTATTATCCAATTTATATAAAATGACCTTCAATGCAAGGATTGACAACCCTCCATTCCCTTCCCCCATTGTATTCTTCATCTTCTTTCTCATGTTTTTCTCTACAAATAAGTTCTCTCCTTTTGAACCCGTAACATTTTACATATACACCAATTAGACAACAAGGGACCGATGCACAAATATACAAAGCTATAAAACCAGACCCTAGCACAAAATAATCAGAAGTAGCAAATAAACATACCTGTATATGCTCCATTCTTCTCATAATCCTGAATGAAGTGCATGATAACTGGCGTCGGTATGACATAACCTATATTCTCCACATCTTCATGTTTAAGGGACTGAAACGCAATACCGACACAATTCCCCTTATCATTGAAGGCAGGTCCACCAGAATTTCCTGAGTTTATAGCAGCATCTATCTGCACATGAACCATAACCAATGGTCATCGAGATTGGATAATGGGATGGCTATAAATACAATTAAAATGGCACAATAAGTCCAAACCTGCAACCCTAGAAGCTCAGTGGATCCATGAACATAAGAAAGAATCTCTATGCGTGAAACAACCCCACTTGTTACAGAAATTGTGTCTCCCCCAATTGGGTAGCCCACAACTGTCACCGCATCCTGAAGTGTAGGCAAATCCCCAAACTGCACAGGTGAAACCCCTTCCCAAAATTCATCACTCTCTACTGTAAGCATGGCTACAAGATCACATGCACCAAAAATTTACATTAAACAAAAAAAAAAGTTGCATCATTTCAATTTGCATAATTACAACTCATGATCAACATGAGTGCAAATTAAAGCAACAATCAAAGAACTAAAGCAAGTACTCGAACTTTCCAAACTTGCCATCGATACAGTAAGAGAGACATGCACTTAAAAAAGAAGGGAGTCCTATAATGCTTCATCTATTTAGCTATTAAAAGCAACACAGAATATCAAGCTTCATCATGCCCTTTTTCATTTTTCAACAATAAATGTTAACTGTAAATTTCACACCCAATAATTGTTCTAAGCCATTTTCAAACCCCTCTAAACAGCTTTCAAATTCAACCCATCATTTTCATTTACTAAATACAAATACACACAAGCACATACTTGGATATTGTTACAATAATCAATTACATAAAATCACATATAAGCCCAAACAAATGCTTCCCCAAAACAAGTCTTTAACAATAAACAATAGATAGTGAAATTCTCACCAATATCGCATTCAGTCCCAATAGCCAGCACAGTGGCTACATACTTGGTATCAGACCCTCTCTTCTTCAATTTCACCTGCGTATAATGTTCCACCGAATGCGCATTCGTCAAAACTCTCCTCCCACCAATCACAAACCCACTACTACTCGAACTGTACTGTCTCTTCCTCTGCCACGGCAGCGAGAAATTCGGCTCCGTGTGTGTACAAAACACCTTCACCACCGCGTCCATCGACGGCACTGCCTTCGCCACCGCCACACTCTCCCACCTCGGCGTCGCGGCGGCCGACGGTTGCTCAACCGAAACCAAATTATGAACGCCATTGCTCTCGATGCGCCGAGTCGGAGAGGCAACTAGGGTTTTGTCGGTCTTGTCGGAGTGGTCGGAGTCTTTGCGGGGACGGCCGCGGCGGCGGCGGTGGGTGGTGGCGGGGTTGTTGTCAATGAGCTCGACGTTGGTGACGGAGAAGACGACGTCGTTGTCGATGGCGGGAGAGGAAGATGAGGCTCCGCCGGCGCCGTCGCCGGCGGTGGTGGTGGTTGGGAAATCTAGGGTTTCGGTGAGTCGGTTTTTGGGCTTTCGGCCTCGTTTGCGCTTGTTGTCTCCCATCTGGGAATGTAGAAGTTGGTAGAGAGAGAGTTTTTGCGATTACTAGAGACAGGGAAGAGATGGAGAAGGAAGAAAGGAAATGCACGCAGAATTTACACAGGGTTAAGGCGGAGAAGGTTAAGAGCGTAAAAATGATCCGCGGTCCGTGGGCGGTCCAAAGGCCGCCGGTGGTTGGAGATGGGTCTGGTCCGTCTAGCCCTGCTTATATTCAAGTTTGAGTACTTGAGCTAAGGCTTGGGTCATTGTTTTGAAGGTTGGCTCGGGCCGTTTGACTTGATCCGTGGCCCAGTCCATCGACTCGTTTAATACCCACTTAGGTTCTGCCTGCTCAGGATCTAGTGTATTTTTTAATAAAAAATAATAAAATTTTGATTAAAAAAAGAAAAAAAAAAGATTAGCCCTTCCTAGCTCGGCCTAAGTTGGAGTTCAAGCCTAAGCCCATTGAGCTTATCAAAGGCCCAAATACCTTTGGGTTTGGGCTTGGGCTTGGGCTTGGGCCTAAACTGAATTTTTAGCCCATGGGTCGGTCTGACCCTGCCAGGTCTGAATTTTGGTGGGAGCTTGGGAGGCCTGACATGGGCCGGGCCAGGTCAGATTTACACTCTAAAGAAGGTAAAGAAAAATGATAGGGAACGATGTCGTTTGCTCTACCCTTCGTTCAGGGTAGAGGAGATTCCTTTGCGTCATCAGCATTACATTACCGGCAATAATAATGGCCTACTTTGAAAAGTGAGTTAAAAGGCATTTCCTAATTTTTGACCCACTTTTCTCTTTTACAAAAAAGTTTAAAAAATTAAAAAATAAATTTTAATCATCTTTTTAAAACACTCCAATAATCTCTCCGTTCCAAAATAATAATTCTTTTTGAGAAATTTAATTTTTTTAATAATATAATTATTACACTTTAAAAATATTAATTTTTTAAAATTATCTTTTGATAGTATTTTTTTTATAAAAATATCAATTAACATAATTATACTTTTTGTATTATTAATAAATTTAAAAGAATGACAAAATAGTAAATTTATATTATTTTATTTCTTGATTTTTGAAAAGAGACTAATATTTTGAAATAATGAAATGTAAAATAAAAGATTAAACGGAAGAAGTATTTCAAAAACAAAAATCAACTGAAAACAAATTTGTTTGTGTGACAATTGTTCAACACTCCAGAAACGTTGAAAAAACAAAAAAAAAAAACCCAAAGCCTTATCAACACACATTACAATATATTAGGATTACAGTTTTCAAAAAAATCCTCTCAAAACACCCATTTTAGAAATATATATAGAAATATATATATATTTATATTCTTTATGATTTTTAGAAATGATTTAGTATTTTTCTTTTTGGAAAAAATTACATTTGACACCTTTTTGAAATTTGAGTTCAATACAAAATTTTCTTCCACCTTTCAAAAAGAAAATTGTTTGAGGGTTCGAAATCAACCGTTCGAATTTGGCTCAAAACCTAAAATAATATCGTTTTGGGTTTCCATTTTTTTTTCTTTTTCTTTTTCTTTTTCTTCTTCTTCCTTTTCTTTCTTTTTCTTCCTTTTGAGCATAGAGGCGAGAGAGAGAAATACAGAGCCGAGAGGCGAGAGAGAGAAAGGAGAGGAGAGGAGAGAAGAGGAAGAGAAAGAGGAAGAGAGAGCAGAGGGAGGAAGAGGAAGAGAGAGAGGGAGATCTGTGTTGATGATGATGATGTGTTGATTTTGATTTTTTATTTTTGGGTTTAAATCTCTCTGATGATGATGTGTACAGAAGATCAAAAATCAAAATTAAAATCTGGTTTTGAATCTAATTTTTTTTTTTTTTTTTGATGATGATGTATACAGATCTGATGATGATGGTGATACGTACACATCTGGGTTTGAATCAAAATCAAAATCTGATGATGATGAATCAAAATCTGGGTTTGATGCCTCTTGAATTGTTGATGATGTTGGTTGATCTCTCTTTCTCTGCTCTCTACTCCCCTCTTTTCTTTCTTCTTCCTTCTTCTTCTTTTATGTTTCTGCTTATTCTTCATCTTCATCTTTTTTTTTTTTTTTCTTGAGTGTATAACACTCAGTGAGAAAGGGGAAAAAAAAAAAAAAAGGATTCGGGCAAATTCGAGCTCTAGCATTTCGGGCTCCCTACCAGGTTTGTTTCAAAAATTACGCAGCCTTCCTCGTCAGGATTTATTGTTTGACATAATTAACATAAAATGTAAAACAGCAATGATTGAGGGCCACAATTTTTGTGGCTCAAATGGCTCGAAATTGCTAAAACGACGTCGTTTTGAGTACAAAACAACTTTAAAATTGCCAAAACGACGTCGTTTTGGCAATTTTAAAGTTGTTTTGTACTCAAAACGACGTCGTTTTAGCAATTTCGAGCCATTTGAGCCACAAAAATTGTGGCCCTCAATCATTGCTGTAATTTTAAATGTATTTATTGTGGTGTCACAAATTTTTTATTTTTTAGATACATCTAAGTAAAGTACATCTAAAAAAGTTTAAAAAATGTTTAAAATTTTAAAAATATTCACTAAAAACAAAAAAACACAAAAACCAAAAAACTCAATTTTAAAAAAAATCAATTTAGAAAATTCAAACCAAACACACTAATTAACTCTCACTTTTGAAATCATGCTCAGCCTCTTTGGAAAGTTGTTTTTTTTTTTTTTTTATAGTAATTTTTGTAATTTTCTAATAAAATATGATATGAAAAAAAATTACTCCGTGAAAGATTTATCGAGGTGGTGTTGGTGGTGTAAAGCAGCTGGGCTTGCAGTAGGTGCAAAGTGGAGTTGTGATTCTTCTTCCGCAATAAATGCTATCTTATTCTTAAAGCTTGTGAACTTATTTGATTGAATAATGATATATACATTAATTAACATATTAATTAGTATATTAATAAATAATGTGATATAATTTTAAATTTTTTTTAATATTTATAATTTGTATAATAAGTAGATCAATGATTCCTTTTGGAAAATCTAACTTATTTTGATAGTACAATTATTGCATTTGAAAAAAATTAATTTTCCAAAATTACCCTTTTGATAGTACATTTTTTGAGAATATCAATGTCATAATTGTACTTTTTATATTGTTTATTAATTTAAAAGAAGAGCAAAATAGAAAATTTAGAATTAGAGAAACCAAGGTAGTTTGTTAGATGAACTGGGTTTGGATTGATTATCGTTTGGTCATATTAAAAAGGTGGCGATAGAAATTATTAATTTAGTGACTTTAAACTAAGGTGGTAAAGAAAAAAATAAATAAATAAATAAATAAACCGACACAACACAAACTGTGGCAGTGGGGACCCACTGCCACACTCTAATCCTCCCACCCATTTTCCATTAAAAAATATTGGAAATAAGAAGAATACAATGAATATTGCTCCATATAAATGGTACGAATTTATTGGTTTGTAGTTCTACTTAGGTCTTATTTGGGAATAAATTTTTATAATAATATTTTAGTTTTTTGGTTAAAATATAATGTAAAAAAAATATATATATATTTGGGATGAATTTTTTGATTTTTTTACTAAAAGATGTGTAAAAAGTAGAGAAAAAATGAAATATTTGACTTTTTTTTATAAGTTATTGACTTTTTAATTTTTTTAATGATTTTTTAACTTTTAAACTAAAAAATTACTTCCCAAACAAGGTCTTAGGTTGGAGTGGATACACGGTGCTGGCTCAAGGGGGTTGCAAGTGAGGCACTTGTTTTCGGCCTCCGTATAACAAAATGCCTCACTTTTAGTTGAAATCTTATAAGTAAAACAAAAAATAAAGAATAAAGAATGTCAATAGCTTTCCAAACTACAATGAGATTATCAAATTTTCTATCAATGTTGTATATTGGCTCTACACTCATGTGAGACCACATTCATATGTGTAATTGATAAAAAAAAAATTAGTGATTTAGTAGATATCCCTATCATTTGTGTACTAGTAAAAGTTTATTTCCCACTCTTTCACACTCATAAATTAAGAAAAAATAAAATAAAAATGTTTAAGACTCCCTTTCCCTCCCACTCCCTTTGACCCCCTTTTCCTCCTATTGGCCAGTTTTTCTTTTCTATTTTTTTTCTTTTCCTTCTCCTCTAATCACCACCCGCCACGTGTGTGTGGGGTGGTGGGGTTGGTGATTGGAGGGGGTCTCTATCAATACTAAAAAAAAAAATAGTTAAAATCAAATATTCTTATGAATAATTTCATTCAATAGATATTAATTTCACTAAATTTAACTTATAGGGAAAATTTTAATTTTTTTTGCAAGACACATGAACAAGACATGATAATATGAAATAACAAATGGATTGGATCACCAAATATTGCATCAGATTTAAATTTGATAAAAATTTTAGTAAAAAAAGTCCAATATCTTTTCATCAAATTTGTATTCTTTCATGTCTAGGAAAAGTCTATTTCAATATGTTCTTGGCCTAAAAAAAATAAAAAATAAAAAATAAAACAAAATAAAAAGAGCCTGACTTTAATTTTTTGCTTTAGGTGGTGGATATATTTTATTTTCATATTGCTGATTATCTTTTGGGTTTTCTTTGAGCTTCTATTAGTTGTTAGAAAAACAGTAGGACACATGGACGCAGAGTTTTGCTTTGCTTGATTTTTGTAATGGTTGTGGTTGAGGTGTTCTGTTGGTTGTAGAACTTGGGAGACATACAGTAATGTTGTGGGGGCTTGAGACACAGGTAGGAAGGGGTGAAAGGGGTGTGGGGTGCTGTTGGTGGATGAAGATCTCTCTCTTTCATTATTTGAGAGGGGTATTTGAGGCATTTTAAAATTCTTAATTGATAACATACGCTAAATCAGTTAATTGACTTAACGATCAACTAACAAAAGGGAGAGGGACGTAATTTTCATAACCACAAAGGCACAAATGTATTAGTGTTAAACCTCAGAGGGTGTTAATGTAATTTACCTTTTTTTTTTTTAAATGTTTATGAGTTTTAAAAAATAAAAAATAAAATAAAAACAATAACAATAAGGGAACTCAGCATATAAATTCATTTTATGGACTTAAAGCATAGATCCACACATATTTTGCTTGGGTACATAAGGACAGAAGCATATTAAAAACCTTCGTCATTCAAAATTAATATTATGTAACTTTTTCACATAAAAAAGCTCCTACTGCAGTAGAGGGAAAGGACGAGAATCATCATATTATGTGTTCTCTTTCGAGT